ACGCCCTCTCCTCTTCCCAGTTGTAAGTGCTACAACAACCTGGAGCTGCAGGGCCTGACTTTGCCCCCATGTGAGGAAGGCCCATGACAGAAGGAAGGCAACACAGAGCAGAGCTCAGCTGAGAGACGGATAAAGACAGAGCAAGTCCCAATGAGCCCATTTGAGCCCCCAGATATGGCTGAGCATAAACCAGATGCACTCCAAAACTGCCAAGTTATGGGAATCAATGAATTCTCTTTTTTTGTTTTGTTTCATTGCTTAGTTGGTCTTTTGTTGCCTGCAACTGCAAAAGCCCAAACTAAAACACTGCTTTTCTGCTACGCCCTGGCTCTTAACTTTGGCAGCTTTGGATATTTTCATGAGTCTCTGGCTCCCCTGGGTGGCAAAGAGAATAAATTCACATTTCTAGGATTCCTACTCTGCATAAGCATTCTCATTTCTGCAATTCATTTACACTTCGACTCCTCTATATACTCTATAAGAGTATACTTGGGTTTACTCTTAGCCCACAAATGCTTTGACAGACTTCTTTTTCAGGGACCGCCTGCTCTCCCAGCTGTGGTGGTGCTGTGCCTGCAGAAACCCGGTCAGATCCCCTCACTGGTCCTGTTTGGAGTGGCCACTGGGTTTGGGTCAGTGGTAGAGCGAGTGGCCTGAGTCAGGGGCAGCGCGTCACCCTCTTCCAGAAGCAGGCAGGACACAAAGAACCATGTTGATATTATTAGAAGTTTTTGCCAACCAACTGTGCGAACCAGCCCAGACTCCATCATGCTTTTAAAAGCCCTGGCCATGTGAATTGGGCTCATCCAGATTACACTGAATGAGGAAACTGCAGAATTTAAAAACAATTCAAGCTGATAGACATTTTCATTTTGCAGTTTGTAAGGACACATTTTAAAAAACAAAGGTTTGGCCATATTGTTTTTATTTTATGATGATCCACTTCCTGGAAAGCCATGGCTATTGCAAAAGTTAACAAGTCTTTGGATCCTTGCCAACCTTTTACTGCTCAGAGACAAACTGAAAACATATCTCTAGTATGCGCCACTCTGTTGGGCTTACATTTTTACATAATTGTTGCTCATTCCTTGTTTAGATCTTTGCACTTTGGAAACACTAACCTGCTGGTCCTTTCAGGTGTCCTTACAGGTTCATCTCCTGTGTATTTCCATACCCCGGCAGAAATATGGAGTGCCCTCCATCCTCCTCACCTCAGCTCAGGTGTCAACTCCTTATCCCCCCTCGGCCCAGGCTGGGCTAGGTGTCCCACTTCTGTTTCCAATAGAGTTCTCTGCGTAGCATTATCATTATAATGACTACACTGGATAATTATCTGTTTATGGCTCGTGTTCCCTGCTAGACTTAGAAGCTTGAGGTGTGGTCTTTATCTCTTTTTTCTTTAAACCAAGTGCTTCCCAGCACACGGCTTGGCCCAAAGTTTATTAAATCAATATGTGAATTAAAAGGACAGGAGAAGATAAAATAGCATTTGTTGAGGACCTACTGACTTGATACCTTATAACACTGTGGTAAGAATTTAACAAGAGAGTATAAGTAAATGAGCTGGAGACGTAACTAGTACAAAGTGGACATGTTTGTTGAGTGAATGATGGTGGATCCACATTCTGAAGATGAAAATGCTGAGGCTCAGAGAGTTTAAGCTACTTCCTGGAGTCACAGAGTTACAGTGAGAGAGTTGACATTTGAGCATGGCTATCTCTGGTCCCTAAGCCCTTGGCTTCCCCTATACCTCTCTGTAGCCTTCCACTTGCACCTCTCTATATCCCTTGCCCCAGCAGGTAGGCATTTTTTTGTCGATAATCATCTTTGAATCAACTGTAACACTTTTACAGAATGGCCTTCCATGGGAGGAATCCCACAAATATTTGTTGGATGAATGGATGAATGACTAGATTTGGGGAAACCTTCAGTGCTGAACAAATAAACGTGGCTGACTAGTCCATTTAGCGCATGATACTGTATTATTCCTTTGGAAAATGTACTAATATCACTGTAGTGATCCACTAATCAGAAATATAATGTGTTATAAAATAACATTAGGGAAAGGGCCTTAAGAACAATGTAATAGAAATAAAGGTAAAGAAAATAAAGTTAATCTTTCCAGGACAGTGACAAAGTTAAAACCTGCGGTATTCAGAATATTCTTAAGAATCTCTCACAACAGAAAGGAGGCTTTTTTTTTCTTTTAAAGAAAAAATATTTTATTTTTCCTTTTCCTTCCCAAAGCCCCCCAGTACATAGTTGTATATTTTTAGTTGTGGGTCCTTCTAGTTGTGGCATGTGGGACGCCGCCTCAGCATGGCCTGATGAGCTGTGCCACATCCGTGCCCAGGATCCGAACAGGCAAAACCCTGGGCTGCCAAAGCCGAGCGCACAAACTTAACCACTCGGCCACAGGCCAGCCCCAGAAAGGAGGCACTTCAGCTTCCCTGCTAAAATTCAATCCTCTGATTTTGGATTACCTGCAAAGATATCAGCACAGATCCATCTAACATTCTGAAGTCTGCACAGTGTTGATTATCTACACAATCATGTAATACGAGCAGCACACTGTGAAAGATGAGGATAAGAAAACAGTTTCATGTTGTCTTACTGGGAGAGGATGATGAGGGGGATGAAGTTAATTGGAGTTGTCCTAGGTGACAGATTATGTAATCAAGGCAAGAACAATAACTGCTGCTTATTGTGCTCCCTTTTTGTGGTAGGCACTTTGCTTATGTCGTATCATTTAATTAATCGGTCTCCATAATACCACGATGCAGTAGGATTTCCTTTTCACCTTTAAGATTTCCCAGAGGTTAGGTAATTTGCCCGAGAGGTTGCAGATGCCAGGATTTACCCCCACATCCATCTGACTCCAGAAACAGAGTCTAGTGCATGGTCTTCTAATTCTTACAGCAACACTGAATCCACAGCCCGGCTGGCCAGGCCCTGAACCCTGCTGTGGTTCTAAGAGCTGCTTCCCCTTCAGTTCCCTGAGGGCAAGAACATGGGCTCTTCCTTATCTTATCCCCAGGATGAGGCGAAGGCCTTGCACACAGAAGGTGCTCATCCACTGCAGATGAAGCCAAGGGCTACCCTGTATAAGCAAAGTGCAGAGTTGACTAGTTAAGAAAAAATACTGCATGATTTCACTCATATGTGGAAGATAAACAAACACATGGATAAAGAGAACAGATTAGTGGTTACCAGAGGGGAAGGTGGGTTGGGGGTGGGTGAAAGGGGTAAAGGGGCACATAGGTATGATGATGGATAAAAATTAGACTACCGGTGGTGATCATGATGCAGTCTATACAGAAACTGATAAATAGTAATGTACAGCCAAAATTACACAGTTATAAACCATTATGATCTCAATAAAATAACTGAAAGAAAAACCCCCCAAAAACACAAAAAAACTATTTCAAGCTGAAGGCTAATAGGCATTTCCCTTCTGTAATCTGTAAGAACAGCCAGCCCCGGTGGTCTAGTCGGCAAGATTCCATGCTCTTGGGACGGGCCGGTGGCGCAGCAGTTAAGTTTGCACATTCCACTTCGGTGGCCCGCGGTTCACTGGTTTGGATCCCAGGTGCAGACATGGCACCACTTGGCAAGCCATGCTGTGGCAGGGATCCCACATATAAAAAAGTAGAGGAAGATGGGCACGGATGTTAGCTCAGGGCCAGTCTTCCTCAGCAAAAAGAGAAGGATTGGCAGCAGATGTTAGCTCAGGGCTAATCTTCCTCAAAAAAAAAAAAGATTCCATGCTCTCATCACCGAGGCCCAAGTTTGTTTCCTGGTCAGGGAACCACACCACCCATCTGTCAGTTGTCATACTGTGGTGGCTGCATGTTGCTGTAATGCTGAAAGCTATGCCAGTGGGATTTCAAATGCCAGCAGGTCACCCACGTAGACAGCTTTCAGCCAAGCTTCCAGACTCAGACAGACTAGGAAGAAAGACCTGGCACCCACTTCCAGAAAACCCTGTGAATGGCAGCAGAGCATTGTCTGATATAGCACTTGAAGGTGAGAGGATGGCCCAAAAGATTGGGCAAGGTTCTGCCCTGCTGTACACGGGATAACTAGGAATCGAAATCGACTCAATGCCACTGAAAACAAAGTCTGTAAGGACATATTTAAAAGCACAAAGGTTTGATGATATTGGTTTTATTTTATCATGATTAATTTCCTAGAGACCCACTGCTATTGAAAAAAGTCAACAGGTACTTGAAATCCTTCTTGAAAACAGCCCAGGGCTCCTCAATACTAGTTTCCCTCCCCACCACTCCTGCCGAGCACCCCTACATTTCCTTACTCATGAACACACTTCACTCTGCCCAGGGAAGAGATCTGATTCTGTTCAAGGACAAATGTGATCCTCAAGGACATGTCATAGGTTACAGTAGTAAGGGTGGGGCTGTACTATCAAGAAACAAAGTCCTTTTCTTTCATCTCTGCCCCCAAGAGTAATAAGGCTAGAATACACTTGCTCCTCTTTAAGAAGCATCAATGCCATTGGAAGACCAAGCAAGGCCAGCGCATGGCCAGAGGTTTGCTCTAGGAGAGAGGGGCATTTTTTCACTTCCTTGCGGCTGATGATGTGCGGCAGGACTGGGGTTGCCTTCCACTGGTTAGGCCTCTCAGCCCTTGGAAAGCCAATGAAGAATCAGATAGGAACAGAATATGTATACAGTGTGTAAGAACCTTAGCAGAGGTGGTCAGGGACTTGCATTCTGGGACATTTAGGAGACACAACCAGTAGCAAATGAGGAGGCTGGAGACAGGAAGAGAAAGGCAGAGGTCAGGAGCTAAAGATAGACTTTCCTGACTTTTTGCCCTGGGCTGACCCTGTTCTCTCCCTTCAGAGACAAAAAGGAAGAATTTATACTCTCAAAAACAAAAAAAGGTTGATAAATGGTGAACTCCTCAGAAGAGAGCCTTTGCAAGTATAAAATAAAATGCAACAACATATTTACGTATTTTTGTTACCGAGCCCTCAGGGATTGGTGACCGGCATGTGAGTCCTTTTGCCAGGAGCCGCTCGCGCCAATAGAAGAGACCAGGTTTGGAAAAGCAGAGCAGAAACGTTACTCGTCGATCAACAAACGGAGGAGGCAAAACTCGTGCTCTAAAACACCTCTCTGAAGGGAAGGTGAGCAGGGTTCTTGAGGGATGTGAAGGGGGCGGGGTCTCCACGTCATCGCTGGGGGCGGGGGCATCTGGGGCATGCACAGATCTTCCCTTCTTGCGCAAGGCACCTTTTGCACACCTTTCCTTTTGTGCATGGCAGTTTTTGTGCATAGCACCCCATCACCATCTTGGACCTCTGTGGTTTGGACCAGTTCTGCAGTTTGGCCTTCTGGCAGTGTTCTGCCTTGGTTTCTATTTAAGCCAGCACAACTTAAAAACAAAGAACTAGACATGGAAATTGTTTTACGGACTTCTCTGGGTGAAGCTTTTTTTTAATGAAAATAATTTATAAACTTCCTCAGGAAAAACAGACTTAACATTTCACAATTTAAATACATAGCTGGTTTCAGGGCCATTAGTCAGCATTATCAGCTTCCTAACGGTAATTGTGTTTTTCCCTCTCCAGGAGGTCGAAGGGACACATCTTCTCCACTGCTTTACTCCTTTCTCCTAACATACCTTAAACCTTATGTTTGCTGATGTAGAAAGCATTTGGAAGGCATGTGCAATTATTTTGGAGTGCCTCATCATTCAGAATTGGCAAGAATACCCTTTTCGCTGTTTCTCCTTTATGTTGGGGAATTAAATAAAGTAACTTTAATTTGCATGACTCTTAGTTCTCATGTCTCTCTTTTCCACATTATCTAGTTTCCCACCACTAGACAACTGAGCCTTTGTGATTATATCCGTCCCTGCCAAGATTTGACGTTGCAAGCAGGTAGACAGCTCTCTCGAAGTGTTTAGAAGGAGGGATTTCATTTCACTTGGCACAAATGAGGTAAGAACAGTCTGACTCGCCCAATAAAAATAAATCCTGAATATCTTACTTATTATACCACTCTCACCCTCCTCAGTGGATTATTAATTCATTTGGGTAACTAAATACATCCTTCGTTCCAAGAACTTAAAGTGCCACCCAACGATGGCATCCATAATAATGCTAACATTTCTGGAGCTCAGATACATTCTGGTTTCACAATCCATCTGACTCATAAAAAATACACCGACACTTTGGTGGCTGTTTCCCCACTAAAATGAAGGTGCTTCCTTTCAACGTGGCAAATTCAAACAGTCTGTACTGAAATGACTCATCTTTATGTACAAGGACTTTGAATTTACCCCATTACAGTTCAGAACAGAGAAGTCACAGGAGACTAACTCTCCCTCCCTTTCCTTTTCCTCACATGTGCTGAAGAAACAAAGAAAAGAGGAATCTACTTCTGGCATACGAATTTAGTTTTTAGGGTGAAAAATCAGAATATTATGTAGGGCAACAGTGATCCTAGTTATCCAAATACTAAATTTCTTTCTTTTTTCTACTATAATAGAATGGTTAAGGTAACCATAAATGTAAGAATCAGTAATTTTCAATATCTGTGTATGCATTCTAATTAATAGTTCATAAATAAGGAAACTAATGCAAAGAAAAGTGGTTAGTTCTATATACATATCTGGAGGAAATAATTTATAATCATAAAAAGACTTCACAACCACAGTTAAAATTAACTCCTTGGGATGGGCAGGACACATTTCCACCATAGCAGGCATGTCCTGTAGCTAAATGAGAGACACGCCATCCCTCCTCACTTATTGGATCGAACATAGCCTGGAGTTGTCTGACTCATTCATAGCCAGGTTATCTTTCTTCCCAGCTCTTAGCCTCCGTGGGTCAGAAATCAAACATTACTCTAACTTCTTTCCAAAACATGTCCTAAGACTATGCCCTTTTTATGCCCATTAAGCTTAAATAAAATCTTACAGATATTACAGCAGTCGTTCTCAATCAAGGACTTTTTTTTTTTTTTCTTTTGCTGCTACTGGCATCTAGTTGGTAAAGACCTTGGGTGCTGCTAAACATCCTACCGTACACAGGACAACCTCCACACAAGAATTATCTGACCTAATGTGTCAACAGTGCCAAAGTTGAGAAACCCTGCATTAGAGGAAAGCTGATAAATGTCTCTTTTTCCCAAGAAGTTTATGATATAGTTTTATTATTTAATCATTCACCAAATATTTATTGAGCATCTGCAAGGCATGGTGAAGAAGAAAAACAAGGTCACCGCCTTCCTGAGCCATACAATTCCAAGAGAGGAAATAAGTAAGTAAGTAAATAAATAAATGAGTTAATTGCAGATTGCGGTATATATTGTAAAGGAAATAAATGGGTAACGTTAGAGAGTAACTGGGAAGTGCTTTAGATAATATGGTCAAGGAAGACTTACCTTTCCAAGGAAATCAGAATGTTTTTGGCAGCAATTAAACTCCCAATTCAAGCTGGCTTAAGCAGTAAGGAAATGTAAGGTTCACATAACTTAAATCTGGAGGTAGGATGGGTCTCAGCATTGGCTTAAGCCCTGGGCTCCAACTTCTCTTCAACTCTGAATGCCAGCTTTCTTTTCAGGATAGTAGCAAACATGCTGTGCATTCTTGGTCTCATAAGGACAGTGTCCCCGAGGAAGCAGAAGGAGGTGGGGGGGGGGGGGGGTGGGAAGGCAAGAGATGTAACTCACATCCCAGCATTCTAAGTGACAGTCCTGAGAGTCACCTCTCTTTGATTGGGCTGCATAGGCCATGTGCCTACCCCTGAACCAATTACGTGGCCAAAGGGAATGGAATGTGCTGATTGGCTTAAGTCAAACAGTGATGACCCTTGGCCTTAGGTCTGGCACCAGCTACTCCTTGATAAGTGAAACAACCCTGGGTATATCTTTACGGAGGGTGATGTGCTCCCTGTTTGGCATCCAGAAACTTCCTCTTCGGGAGATGAGATTTAAACTGAGCCTTGAAGGATGAGAAGCAACTGGCCTAGCCAAGAGCCCAAGGAAGAGCTTTCTAGGCAGAGAGAACAAGCACAAAAGCCTTGGCGTGCCAAAGGAGGTCAGGGTGCTCCAGGGGAAGGGGTTCACAGTGAGCCTGGAGGGGTGGATATGAACATTATCTTATAATTTGAGCTTTTGATAATCACGTTTGTTATAAACTATGATGACCCTTTTTAGGTTAGAAGGAAAAACATATACTCTTTGTTTCCTTCAGGATTTTTCCATGCATTCCTATTTTTAGGTGATCATTCTTTCTAAGATAACTTAAAACCTGGACAAAATAGATTTTTAAATCGAACGGATTAACTTTTAAAGAATAAATTTCAAGTTAATATACAAAAAGAAAAAAATCCTTTAGAAAGCAAATTTTGAAAGAGGCTCACATGGACAAGATTTCAGATATTTTAGCATTCAGATGTACTGGCATTATAGAGAAGGTATACAAAATACACCCTGATTTAGAAGAATTTTTATACCCCTTCTGTAACTTCTAGCACCCAGCACCATGCTGAATACAGAGAAGGCCACAAAAATACTGATTGACACCAGAAGTTGAAGGTCGTGAGCATTTTCATGTTTATTATTCTAACTACATGTCCACTCTTTTGCCCATCTCTTCTTTCCAAGGGAGCCTGTCACAGCTTTTTACATCTATTGCACATTATCTCTTTGAATGGCACTTTTTTTTGGTGAGGAAGATTGGCCCTGAGCTAACATCTGTTGCCAATCTTCCTCTTTTTGCTTCAGGAAGATTGTCCTGGAGCTAGTACCTCTGCCCATCTTTCTCTATTTTGTTTGTGGGACGTTGCCACAGCATGGCTTGATGAGCAGTGTGTAGGTCTGTGCCAGGGTCCAAACCTGTGAAGTCCAGACCGCTGAGGCAGAGCATGTGAATTTAACCATTATGCCACGGGGCCAGCCCCTTGAATAGCTTTTTGTTTGGGCTTTTCTTATTTTTGCATTTTTGTTTTATTACTGTTGTTCTTTGGAAGCTGTCTTGGCTTCCAATTTTGAGGACTCTAAACAAGTATAGGGAAAAACCCAACAATTGCAATGGTAGCTTCTAGAAGACTTAGGACAGTCCTTAATTTCATTTTAAAATTTCTGACACCAAGAGAAGTACTGTGAGAAACTGTGTCTGTATTAAAAATGTAATAATCAAAATAAAGTAATAAAATGTAATAAAGTACTAAAAATGATACGGATTCTAATTAGATAAATGCAGTAGTTCATATGACCCCCTACTCACTCACCTGTTCCAATAAATAGTTAAGGTGGACTGACTGAATAAAAGCGGGCTTCAAAAATGTACAACTCAGCATCCACAGCAGTTTGACTTGAGATAGAAGTTCTGGTACTGGCTTTTTCTTGAATGATATCACTACAATTTATTGAATGTTTACTACCATACTAGATGTTTTATTTATATCTAATCCTTCCAAACTCCCAGCAAGATATGTATTAACTCCATTTTACAGATGAGGAAACTGAGGCCCAAAGAAGAATTTGAAGATTACACAGATATCACATAACAATGACATATGTTTAGTGCCTTTACATACATTTTCAATCATTACATACACCCTATGAAGTGGAACACAGGAAGCCTTAGTAATTATCTCAAGGTCACACAGCTGGCAAATTAATAAGAAGTATATATGTATAGCCAAGATCAAGCCCATGAAGTCTAACTCGAGGATGCCTGGTGCTCTTACAAGCTGTGCTATAAACTATATTACTATTGCATCAGGATTTGAACCTGATCCATATCTATCTGGCTTCAAAGACCAAGAACTATTCCTTTCTGCCCAAGTTTCCTCGTATAAAAGGTGAGAAGCAAACCAAAAAAAAAATCTCAAAGTTCTATTTCTGTGCAAAAATGCTATGATTCCACGGATTTTAATATAGGGTTTTGATATACAAAAAAGCTGGGGGTAGGGAGGGGAAGAAGTTTTTGTAAGGCAAAACAAAAGTAACTATAGCTGACTATGTTTTCAAATTTAAGAATACGATCACCTTTAGATAGCTGCAATTATCGTCTCCATGTTACAGGCGAGTTAACTGAAGCATTTGAAGGTTAAATAGCTTGTCTCTGGGCCCGGCCAACCATCAAAAAGCGCACACAATTTACCTTCCAGCCTTGTCTCTGTGTGAATCCCCTAAGAATTGCTATGGTCTTGAGGAGTTAGATTTTTGTTAACTTTGGGTCACGATTCCTAAGTTTTCCAGTTACCCCCGTTTGCACCGTGCTTGAATTTCCACGTGCCCAAGGGAGAGTGAGCAGGGAGACATCGGGCAAACTTAGAAAGGACACAGAGGGCACAAAAGCCCTGCTAACAGCGGCAGAGTTCCACCTTTTCTTCTTTTTATGCTTGTCCCTTTACTGAAAATAGGTTAATCGGGACATCGCCCTTCAGGGAAAGAAACAAAAGCTGCTTCCGATCAAACAAGCAGCAGAACTTATCTCAGGATTTACCGCCAGGAGGTAGGAGGTCGGCTCGAGACAGACCTATCAAAAATAAGCAGAAAACAGGACCATAGAGAGCTTTCCACATGACGTCACCTCTAAAAGTCACTTTCTTAAAAAAAAAAATCCTCAGACATTTTATTCCACAACATAATATCCTGTCGATGAATACAAGACCATTTAACACAAACTCTGTTTACCATTAGCGGTTTAAACGGAAATTCCTTCTCCTAATTCATAATTCACCAGTAGTGGGGTAATCTAGACAATAATACAGGCGAATACAAAACAAGCAAAGAAAGATAATAACGCCACCTCTAG